ATCTTGAAAATAAACGCTAACAGATCATCTTCTAATCTAATTGGTCAGTTCCTGTGGTGCTATTAAACTCCGCCTCCACTTTCTGCATCAGCTCTGCTGCAAGTTCACACTCAGTGGTTATTAATAACTAACATGAATGCTGGAAAAGTCAAATAATAACTTAAAATGATTAGGCAATTATCCAATTTATAGAAAATGAATAAACAGCTGACTCAAAGTCCCGGTTCTATGTTTTCATAAGACATGCTGGAAACATAAAGCCAATGGAGGAAGGTGTTTAGGCCAGAATGCTGTGTGTGTTTCAACAAACTAACTGCTCCTAGAGGGCAGGTGTGCAACACCGGAGGAGACATTTCCAAACAGACTTGCAGTTATTACTGCAGCAAACAGCAGCTTAATGAAACATTAAATCAGGGGGAGTGAATACTATTGGAGGCATTTTAAAACCTGGGATCATTCTGCTTCCACTTAGCAATAATGCAGCACTTTGTTTTACTCTGTTGCATAAAATCCGACCAACATGATTATAATTTTCATGACAAAAAGCACCTATTATTTTGTTTTGCATGAAAGGAAAAATTTCCATAAATTTGTTAACATTACGTGCATTTAAAAGATTTATAATATGACCCCCTTTCATCTTAAAAACTGCCAAAATATCAGCTCTACTTCACACTGATTTTATCCTTTATTTTCCTCATATTTTTTTATCATTACTTTGGGAAAAATGTTTATTAAAAGTAGTGTGACTGACCTTAGCTCCCTGCGCTCTCAGTTCTCCCCAGATCCATGTTGTCCTCAGTTTTCCTCAGGCATCTCCAGCCTGCAGCCCCGTTCCTGTTCCATAAAGGCACAATAACAAAGGCTCCACCAGCAGGTTTGGACCTGACATCCACTCAGTCTGCTAAGTTGGCAGAAATGCCATGTGCAGGCCACCGTAGACAGTCAGTATATCCTGAATCCCCGGCTCTGGATCTCACAGTTTATCCTCTTAAGGGATTAGAGCCTCTACTTCTCGGCGCGGATACCTGCTTTTAGACGGGTGATATGACCCTAATGGTGCTCAGCCAACAAACAAAACAATTTACTGGGGAAGAGCACCCTATCTATAAGTTGATTTATTTTCACAGGTCTATGTGAAAAAAGATCTATAAAACCATTTAACCTAATCTTTGCATGTTTATATGGAAAACCTTGCCTATGCACTGCAAAAACAATCTAGAAATAAGTCAAAACCTCCTAAATTAAGTTTATTTACCCTTAACTTGAATAGGTAAAGGAAATAGTTTGCCAATGGAATGAGTATTTTTACTCTTAAAATAAGATAATTAGATAAAATGCACTTGAAATAAGACAATGCAATTGTGTTTCTTATTTTAAGTGTAAATTGTCTCGTTCCATTGGCAAAATATCTCTTTTACCTCCTCAATCCAAGAACAAATGCACTTGTTTTAAGAAAAAATTGACTTATCTAGATTTGTATTTTTTCCAGTGTGCACTTGCCCAAAACTCCTTCTATTCCTTATTTGTGCACATTAATTATGTTTTTGATAAAAATCCTTTTGCTAAAATGCAATCAGAACGCTTATAATATTAAGTCTATCTCAGCCCCCCCCCTTCAGTGTCCACCATATTGGATCAG